CACCCGAGATATTTTCGAATGCCACTTCATCATATACATTGCGAACAGGACAGTGATTTCGACTTTTGGCTAATGCAGTCAAAGTATTAGGTTGGTGGGCGGCTGGTTTTCCCCATGAAAAGAGCTTCAAACTGTTTCGATGAATGTTTAATCCGTGTTCACTACAGCTATAATCACGACGTGGATAGTGGCGATGAAGAAGGTGCTTTAATGTTCGGGTCTTTTGATAGCGCATCACCGCGTCACTCAATAATCAGCATTGAACCGTCATCGTCAGCTGTCCATCCAAATCAGAATTCTTTGGTAATGTATCTTTCTGGCACGTTTATATCGTCACCATCGAGAACTTCCCCCTCCCGCCCGGGTAGGTAGCTAAACTGTGCTAGCAAAAGGTTGTGGATTCAGGCGAACATTGAGTGCACATGCCGTGAGTCTCGGACTGCTGATGATCGCTCTATCTGTTAGCTGTGTCTAAGAATAAAACAGATTAAGCATGCTAGACGTCCACGTCAATTCGGTGGCGCATTCAATCATTTAAATATTACCGCAACGAATCTATGACTTGCAAGTAAATGCCAGAAACTGGGAGGCCTGGCATAGTTGCTTACTTGGCGTACTTTGATTCATTTGAAATCCACGGTATGGTTCTCAGTCTATGCAAGTCAGGAACTTTTCCACTTGTTTTGACCAGTATGCAACGTCTGGTGATCGGCTTGCTGGCCACTGTGGCATTCGTTTCATCTTTTGAAGAAATTACCAGATGAAGCTCCTTCGGGCAGAATCACTTGCCAAGGCTTTAGCACGTTTTGCCATATCCTTGATGCGTATTGAGCATCAGCATACCTCGTCTCAACCGCTGTAATTTCTAGAATATGAGAGGGCACATTACCGATTTAGAACTAGCATAATACTCTCAGCTCATTTTTGCATCTCGTTAAAACCGACAGTTATACACTGACAATCCAGTTTACCTTGGTGCCGTATCTTCGGTTTTACATAGTTTTGAGCTTGCTTTTCCCACTGTGAATATAAACGCT